AAAAGAAAAATGAAGTAAATGAAATAAATATATAAATATAATTAGAGTTTAGTACAAGTTTTTATTTTCATAATGTTTCGTTTGATATAAGTAGCTCAAGCTAGTATGAAGAAGAAACTCAATGATGTGGGGCTGTGTAACATGGGAAATTATTAAATGAAAATTTCAGATCCAATTATTTTGATTAAGCTTATTACAATGAAAAGAGTTTTATTAAAGGACTCCCTTCACTTATATATGTATATGTAGCCATAGAACACACTTGCTAACTGTCTAACGGCATACAATACTYTTTYMWWAAAWYYCCYWTTTACCCTGTAATAGWTTCTCAACCGAGTGAGAGTCGTGGTCTGCTTCGCACTGCCTTTGCCATTCTCGACACTCAACATGCAAATGCGCTGCAGGAGACCCCGAATAATGGCTGTGGGACAGCGTGTGGGCCAACAGCCGGCAGGAAGGACATATTTGTGTATTATGCTCTTATAATAACTAAATTCGCTGCCACCAAAATCAGAGGGGCGCATTCATTTCACGCAAACACACACGAATATTCAAGGGGCAATGATGTCACTACGACATTCCTCTTTGTCTCTGCGTGTGTGTGCGTGTGTGTATGTGTGTGGGTGAGTGCATCAAATTGAAAGCAATTTTAGTTTTTGGCAAGCGCAATTAAGTCATCGTATTATTCAGTGAACAGCGGGAACTGAACAACCGTTAGGACTCGACAGAAGTGTGACTAGAAGGGTTATATATATCCAGTTGAGTCAAAGCCAATTTCAGTCACATCATGAAAAATATATTAATTATGCTGCCAATTATTCACTCGACATTTCATTAATAATTACTATGAGTCAACTGCAATTAATATATTCACATTATTTTAATATTTTGTATTTTTGCTATTCATTGCAATTCAATCAATATTAAGTGCCCTCAAAGCACGAGCACCGCAAATGCGAGTCAAAGCAATTAAATGGGGAAAAAACGAAAAACGAAAAACCAAAAAGGAAAAAATTAAATACTTCAAACAGGCAGCGCAATAAATCGCGTGACTTTGGGCCCATTTCCCAGCAAGGGCAAGATATTATAGCCCTTCACATCATATATAGCTCAAGGGGCCGTCATTTTGTGAGTGTGTGTGTGTGTATATATATTTTGTATTTTTACTCTTAATTTAAATTTGTCGCTTCACACGTGACCTTGACACGGGTCCGCTCTTCATGGCTAAACTTTTCTGTGGCCTCATAAATTTCGTATTGATTTCCGACTTTCAAAACTGATGCGAATTATCGTGGCGACAGGCCCAAGTGTACAATGAACAATGAACAATGAACAATGAGCTGTGAAACTTTATTGACTCTTTTTACTGTTACAAATTTACCCGATAGCACCCGGTGACTGCAAAGTTTTGGATGCTTTACGATGCGAGCAGTCGCTCCTCGGCTGCTGCTTCTTCTTCTTCTACTTCTTCTTACCCATTTATGCAGTAAAACCAAGAACAACATAATTTAGTCAAACAACAATAAACTGCTACTGCTGCTCGACTCGACTTGTTTTCTAGGGGGAGCACTGCACACACTCATACACACACACACACACGCACATGGAGACTCGTATAAGCATATCTACTCAGACAGTAGGAAGTCGTAGCGGAAAATGTAACTGAAACTGTTTGGGGAAATTCTGGAAAGTTTGTTTGCGTTTTTCTTCTTTTTTCCTGTTCTGTTTTGCGTGGCTTTTTGTCAAAATGTAATAAACTGCAAACAGTGGCAAAAATAATGCGAACACATAAAAAGTGCGTCAAGTTTTTATTCGTATCAGCCTCAATGTCTCGACATCTCAATTCGCCCCCCTGCCCCTATCCCTCTGCGGAGTCGTCTGCTTATTGTTTTATATTATTTACCCTTTTGCAATCGACGTTGAAAGCGTTATTCAACGCCGTGGCGCGCGAGATGGGGCAAACTTGGCTGCAGGCCTCTGTCGGGTTGATATAATTGGCGAAAGTTCTCAATCAGCTCAAAGGATCTCTTTTGAATTGGGTTCGAGTCGAGCCGAGTCGAGCGATATATATAGCTCACAGGGACCGCGATAGATGCGGCTATGAGCAATGGCAGCTGTTTGTCCACCAAATTAATGAGTTGTAAAATCTCAAATTATTGTGCCAATTCGTAGCTTCATTAAGTGCAAAGCCCAGTGACAGTGTTGACTAACGCCACACAGTCGACAGTCCGCAGTCCACAGTCCACGGTCGACGCTCGACAGTCATTGGCTAATGAAAGTCTCGCGACAAATTTGTTTGGCCAACGGCAATTTTCCCAGCGTCTGTTGACAGCTCATTAATGGCAGACAAATAGAATGCATGCGTGTGAGCGAGTGCGCAATACAATGAGCGAGACAAATGTTTTTTGTTTCATTTTCATTTTTTTCCTCTTGCCAATTGTGCAACTGATTGCCTTGTGGCAGACACGACCTCGACCTAGTTCCGGTCGCCGACACATGCCTCTGGCTCGCAAATCGAATCGAGGCTCCTCAGCTGTGCTTACTTGTGAGCTTTTATCTCGACATCCCTCGCAGTTATGACAAATTGTACGACTCATTTCACTTTGCTTTCCCTGACACTTATCACACTTGTCACACTTGAAGGCACCAACAAAGTGGGCGTGGCTGCCAGCGGCACAAAATGTTCTTGCTCGCCACACAAAAAAAAAAAAAAAAAAAAAAAGAGAAGAAATTGTAAATCAAATAAAATACGCCAACCTGATTTTCTGGAATTGAATTTTATTACTCTCGCACTTGAGGTCCAGCGATTTTTATTGATTTATTTAAGGTGGTGCATAGAGAAAAGTATGAGTACAAATTGTGGAAAAACAAAAAGTCTTAATCTTAACTTTATTTATAAGGAATCCAAGCGTTTAACGCGTTGCAGCTTCGAAGTCTTGACAGTTACGCAAAATAAAATAATCTTATTACTGCTGCTATAATCCATGCTTCATAAACTCAAATGCAAACTCGAGACGACGTTCGCCACTAATGCCAACGAGGAAAATACAGATAAGTTCCTAGAGCTGAAAATGATGACTGCAGTGCAAATAAAGCAAAATTAGCTCGACTGAAATGTGAGCAAAAAATGTAATTTATAGTGGCTGAAGAATGTGGGCAGTGGGCGTAACCATAATATGGTGGCAAACAGTTGCTTTTTAATTAAAAAGATTTCCCTTCATCAGCTTTGTTAAGTGCAAGTTCTTTTTGCGTTTATTAAACTTGAGCGACGGCGCACAGTGCGTATGAGCAACGTAGGAAGCGCACAGGAGAGTGTGTGCGAGAGAGAGAGAGAGAGAGAGAGAGAGACGTAGTGTGAGAGAGGTGCTTGCATATTATTTTGCCTTCTAGTTGATTAAAGTAATTTTAATTGCTTTTTAATGTTAATGGCTAAAGTTGCAGCTGCCGCATAACTTTGATGCACAAATATTTTGCTTCGCCTACTTATTTGCTTAAAAGTTATAAATATTTATCTGGATGAATAGCAAAAAGTGAAATGCTTTCAGTTGAATGCGTTATGCAAATGTAATGTAAATTGCATCTATTATCGGCCAATTGCTAATTAAATAGTAACGCCACACTTATCCACCTGCCAGAATTTGTGGGCAAATTAAATTTCGCAGTTCGCAATAATGTTGAATGCCAGACCTGGCCAGCTCGCCGCCAAGTTGGGCCCGTTGTTTGGCGGATTTGCGCAAAAAGCCAAAAAGTTCAACGTCACTAAGTCGACCAGGCAAAGCCTTTAAGCCATAATTTAATATATTGACACAAAGCTTACGCGTAAGACGTGTCTTTGCCGTCATAATCCTCAATATTGTATATTGACAGCTGTCGCTAACGCCCCCCGTCCGCCCTTCCGTTCGTAGCCACGAAAAATAAGAACGCAAAAATATTGTGGGGAAGTCGGAAGGAATATTGAAAGGAAAAGTAACTTTTTTTTGGCTTAATGCTCAACTATGCGGAAAACACTCGCATTTGCCTTCGACTCGACTTTGCGCTCAAGTTTGGCATTGAGTGAGATCATACATAAATACATACATACATGTATACATAAATACATGCACACATACATAAAACACCTGCAATAAAATCAAAAGTAGCTCCACTCGATGTTACCTACATTCAATAATATCGGTGATTCCATCAGATGATTGATCAGGCCAAATGCGTAGATAAAAGCACTAACCAGACTTGTGATAGTGATAAATGGTATTTATAGTAAGATTAAGAATATCATTATCTAACAGTTTTACATGACAACAAATTATATTTAAAAAAAAATTGTTATGATAATATAATAAAATAATATTGTATAAATAATAATCGAAAACTCTTCAAAATATTAAATAAGAAATTAAAGTAAATAAATCGGGTTTTTACTAATATTACTAACCATAGAACACTTTGTGCTCGGTCTATGTGTTCTTTGGTTAGTGTTAATACTAAAGCACTGATAGGGGCTCAAAATTCGCTATAGAGTTAGAACATCATTCTTGTAGTTAATCAATTTTATTTTGTTCTGCAAACCTTACTGGAAAGTCTCGTTTCACATTTAAGGTAAATTATAAAATATTACAGATGTTACATGCAGAGAATTTGTTATAATATTTACAAAAAGAATCCAATAGAAGAAATCTTATTGGAATATCCAGTAAATGCCATATCGATATAAATGTGCATCGATACTATCGACTGCGCCGTCCATAGCTTTAGCATCTATAATGCATATGTACAATTTACCATAGATGAGGAACTACATACATATATACATACATACATATATTTAAGGGGATTTTGTAGAAACATTAAAAAAAGCTCAATTTTATTGACTGATATACAAAATTTGGTATTTTGTTTCTGTGTGTATTTGTTGTTGTTTTTGTTGTTGATAGTGGCGCCAACGGATTCGGCTTGTTGTTGAAACTCAAGTGGAACGAGTTTCTCGCTTGAATGCTTGGAATATTATGGCTTGGTCGCTTCTCCATTTCCATTATCGTAGTTGTCGGTGGCCTCGTTGAAGTACGCCAGATTTTCGTCCTCCAGGGCCGAGCCGACAGTATAGGCATTCCAGATGCTGTGCATGTGCTCAGCATGAGTGTCGACGCCAGGCATTGAGGCGCTCGAGGAGACTCGACTTACCTGAGTGGCCTGGCTCGTGATGTCCGGCAGCGAGTTGCTCTGGGCGAGATTCGCTTTGTGCGCGGGCAGCTTGCCCTTGGCCAGGGCGTGGGCAGTCAGCTCCTTGACACGATCCGCATAGCGCAGCGTATTGAGCGTATGCTCCACGGAGCGCAGGCTGGGCGAGATCATGGCTATCATGCAGGTCCTCACCTTCTTGCCGCCAATGAACGAGTCGCGCAGCACCTGGGTCAGCTTGGATCCGCGAAAGGGCAGGTGGGCCGACTGACGTCCCAGGGCCCGAATGCACTCCTTGAGCGCCAGCAAGGACTTGTTGATCTCGGCGCCCTCCAGCCGCGTTAGCCGATTCGAGCTGCTGTTGTCGGCGCCGCGCTCGTTGCCCGCCAAGTCGATGAGCGAGAACTTGCCATGCAGCTGACCCATGGGGGGCAAGCGCAGCACAATTTGGAAGACGGCGTGCGAGCGCGACGACTTGGAGTTGGCCGAGGTCTGGCCGGAGGTGCGCACACTGTTGCCCAGCTCCAGCAGCTTCAGGACATCGTCGGTGTTGGCCACGGGCTCCTCGGTGAGGCCCACCACCTGCACCTTCTGCTTGCCATCCTCCAGCACGCGCAGCTGCGGCTTGCCGGGCATCAGCAGATCGTACACCCGAGTGCCGTACAGCTCAAAGAAGCTGCAGCTCACGGTGAGACCCAGGCGAGCGTATTTTGGATGGCGGAGGTACTCGAAGACATCGCCGGCGGCCAGGGCGTAGATGCCATCGCGGCAGTTCTGCTGCTTGCCCGTGAACACGCCGCCCATGGTGTGAGTCTTGCCGCTGCCCGTCTGGCCGTAGGCGAAGCAGGTGGCCATGCCCCCCTCGAAGATGTGACGGACGAGCGGCCGGGCTGTCCGCTCGTGGACCTGGGCGTTGCTGCAGTCGTCGTCGAATGTGTAGTCGAAGCGGAAGTTGTGGTGCTCCAGGAACTTGGTCAGATTGACCTGCTTGCGCGGCTCATGAACCACCAGCAGCTCCCTGTTGGGCACGCTCACCACGTCCGGCTCGAAATTATTCAGCTCCCGTCGGTTCAGCGGACGCTTGCGCACACACACCAATATCTGATGCTGCTTGGTGGGGGTGCTTGCGAAGCTCTCCGGCTGGAAGGTCATTTGCATGCGATGCATGCGCAGCATGCGTGCGATTTCCCAGTTCGGATTCTTGGGATCTGCGTCCTTGAGCGATTGGCGCAGCGCCCGCGTCTCGTCGTGCACCTGGCGGCGTCGCTCGCGCTTGACGCGCAGTCGCTCGATCTCCACGACGACATCGTCCTTGGGGGACTCGGGCACGGTGCGGGGCACCGCCGCTGCCGTCGCTGGCATTACGGCCGTAGCGATTCGCTGGCGCGCCAGCATTACGGCCTTGGGGCCCTGGCCGCTGGCCTGGGCTTGAGCCGGCCGCGGCGGTATGGAGACCAAGGTATTGTTCTGTGAGGGTCGTATTGCTGCAGGCGCGTCGTAAATCTGCGGATTGAGCTTGATTATCGTGTTGAGCGGCACCTCCTTGCCGCGCGTCACCACGCCCTCGTTCCATTCGACCGTCACAATTTTATTGGCGCTGCCGTCCAGCTTGATGATGCCAGCCTGGTGGATGCGCCCGTCGGAGCGACGTATGAACACCTGCTGATTAATGGATAGGAAATCCATGACCGGAATCCGTGTGACAGTGCACCAAAAATTTTGATTTGAAACAACAAAGTTGTTGGTGAAATGTATTTATGTGTATGTGTGTGAGTGTGTGCAAATAATTTCTGAGCGATTCAGCAACTGAAATATGAAGGAAATTTTTACTATTGCCCTTTTATGACAAAAAACGAGACCGAAAAGTTAGTTGTAGACATAAAATACAGCTCGTGCAATAAAAAATGTGTATAGAAAAATTTTTACTGTAAATTTGTAAATTCGAAAGCCAAAGTAAAAAAATTCAAGTCAAAATTGAAATGGGGTATCTAGGATTTCTGACTGAGACTGAGCTGATGTTTGACGGGTATATGAGATAATTCATCGGGTATATCCGATCTTCGGTATCTACCCTCCCCCCTGGGAATTTATTCTGTCATCAGTCGGCTCTTAAAGTCTTCCTGCCTTAAGTTGAGCTCTTTTCAATACACCAATTAGTGTCTTCTTTATACTCCACTTGCCCAACTGCCCTCGAGTGGCTGGTGTCAACAGGGCTAACCTCCCCGCTGGCCGAATGACTGCAAGTGTTAAACATCTTTGGCTGTGGCACACATAGGACCTGTGCCACAGGACCTAGTTCATAGTTTGGCAAACATGGCCCCCTTTCCATTTGGGGGAGGGAACAAAGATGATGATGCTGCAGCAGAATTTCTATAGCCGCAGCATGTTTGCACAACACTTATTTTTAGTGAAAAGTCGCTCAGTTACACGCCCTCTCGCCTCGGGCCCCCACTGGGGCCTAGGTGTGAGTGTACGCATGTGAAAGGCGAAACTTCGACAATGTCGAGCCAGTTGAGTGCATATTAAACAGAGCCCCGGGCCACGTTGCGAGTGTCGATGCGTCTTGGGCAAACATTGAGGTAGACAAAGGCCGAAGGCTGCGGCAGTTCCAGTTGCAGCTGCGCTCGCCCTCACCGTCGCCTTCATCGTCTCCGTTGGCGCTGCCACGCCCATCCAGTTTAAATAGGTACATACTTAATATCGTGAATATATTTTGTAGCTAACTCGGTTTTTCTTTTTTCCATTGGTTCAACAATTGCGCGTGGTGCATCTGACAGTGCGTCACAAACCATAAATATTGCAATAACTGCAATAACAACACTTGCGAATTCCCCGCTGAGCAAATGTCAGAAATGTTGGGAATTCGGGCGACAAATCCAATTGCAAAAATAACCAGCTGCCAAATCAAATGAAATCCAAACAAATTCAGAAAAGCAGCCAACAAAACGCAGCAACAAATGCATAAAAAAGAAGCAGAGTAGAAAAAGCCACATTCATGGAAACGCAGCAGAATTTCTGCTCAGCGGCGGAAGCGGAAGCGGCCGCAAAAAGCAAAATGGTTGCTCTCTGGCATTAAATGCAGGCTGCACACAAAACTGTTGCATACTTTCGCGCGCCTCCTTTAAATGCGCTTCAACTCCTGAAACTCGCTCAAATTGAATTTAAACAAGGAATTTTCAACAATTTTAAAGTGAATAATAAATAAAAAGAAATCATTTTTATTTATATTA